ACCATTGAAAACGGATAAATAAAAGGGAGAAAGACGTGGGGTTGGAAGACATGAACACACACACGCACCCTTATTACAACAATACGCCCTCTCGACGGAGGGTCCGAATGAATAAGAGCTAAGCTAAGCTACTTATTACAAATCAACTAATTAACTATGCTAAGCTAATTAATTACAAGCCGAATTGAAACTAGCTATAATAAGCTAATTAGAATATTACAAAGATGAATTAAATTAGCTAAGCACATTAACTAATTAATTACAAAATTGGTAAATTAACTAGCTAAGTAAAGCGGTAAAATGGCCTCAAGGGCGATGGAGAGATGCATGCTTGGTTTGCTTCGCCCGGAAATGCATTGCCTTGCAATGAGTTGTCTCTGTTTGCACTCGTGGTGATCTCAGAACATCTTACGCACTTCCAGATTGTATCTGCCCTAACACAGGAACACTTTGGAAAATTTTGCTGCAAGTGGCCGGCCGACCACCTCAATTGGTCGGTAGGCTACCTCAATTGGCCGGCTGGCCAGTGCAAGTGGTTGGTCGGCAGGTGCAAGTGGCCGGCCGGCCACCTCTCCTTCCAGAATTCCAATTTTGCTGCAATAGAGATCAACAAAGGCATAACAATGCATTTGCATGAAAATGTGTGTGCAACTACTCTCCTTATCATTTCCCAAGCTCAAAGGAGCGTAGTACTCGGCTCTCAAGCCACCAATCACGCATCTCAATGCATGATGGAGAGATGCATGCTCGGTTTGCTTCGCCCGGAAATGCATTGCCTTGCCATGAGTTGTCTCTGTTTGCACTCGTGGTGATCTCAGAACATCTTACGCACTTCCAGATTGTATCTGCCCTAACACAGGAACACTTTGGAAAATTTTGCTGCAAGTGGCCGGCCGACCACCTCAATTGGTCGGTAGGCTACCTCAATTGGCCGGCTGGCCAGTGCAAGTGGTTGGTCGGCAGGTGCAAGTGGCCGGCCGGCCACCTCTCCTTCCAGAATTCCAATTTTGCTGCAATAGAGATCAACAAAGGCATAACAATGCATTTGCATGAAAATGTGTGTGCAACTACTCTCCTTATCATTTCCCAAGCTCAAAGGAGCGTAGTACTCGGCTCTCAAGCCACCAATCACGCATCTCAATGCATGATGGCCGAAGAGTCAAGCTTGCACAATGTTAGTGAATGCACAAACAGCACATAAGAGCCTCCACCTCTATCATGCATAGTCAAGAGGGTCGGCGACTAAGAAATGTGACGCGTTTTATCACTTGGAGTATGAAACATTTCACATTTCTTGTGTTTGGATTAACGTCCGATCCAAACACAATGCAATGCAAACAACATGTGTTATCTTGGCATTGTTTTACTTGGTTGATTTTGTTTACACATTTTAACATTACCGATTCATTCTTTAACCGGTTAAGTGTAATGTGAGTGTCCTCTAACGAGAAAGATGGCCTAAGCCACAAGCACCTTAAGCATGAAAGAAGCCTCAAGAGAAGGCTAAAACCATTAGGCATGAGAGCCTCAATTCCATGCTTAAGCCAACAAAGGGCTAAAGACCTCTTTCAAAGCACATGAAAGAGTGAATTAATGGAGTGCAAAAGCATATATTCCAGCACTGAAATGGCATACAAAAGACTTAAAATCATGCAAACAACTCAAAGAATGCATGTTTAAGGCAATGGCATCAAAACTAGTGAAGTGTATTACACTAGAAGCATGCAAGACAATGCTCAAATGGCCAAACCAGCCATGGACAGGCCTAAATCATGCCAAATCAGTGGCAAAAACATGCTGAAACTTGGACACAAAAACCAAGAAAAACATGCGCACATGTTGGCTCGCAAGCAAGACATAACGCTCAACTCTCAAAAGCACTTAACGAGTGATATGTGTGAGAGTGTGACAAAGGTATATGCTCTGAAATTACATGCTAAAGGATGCTATATCATGCAAACATCACAAGAAAAGCATGCTAGGGGCCTTAAAACACAAGGCTAGTAAAGGCCATTACACTATGGCCATACAAGGCAAGCCTAAAAGGGCCAAGATCATTCCAAACAGAGTTTAAGCATGCTAAATCAAGACCAAACTCATGCTGGAGCATAGCCAAGACAAGTTAGAATGAAAGGCCAAAACATGAAGTATATAAAGCTAGTGAGCATGATTGTATTACAAGTACAAAAACCAATTGAAGGGTGACACAACCAACCAAAATCAGAGTTAAAGAATGCCAAAACGACACCAAAAACATGTTGAGATAGAGCTAATACATGCTAGAATGATGGACTAGCCCATTAGGCATTCAAGGCTATTAAGCAAGATTACACTACAAGTGTAAGAAGCATGCACAATCAGGATAAAATAGAATTACAACATGCTGAAATAAGGTCAAAAATAGGTTGAGATCAAGTCAAGTGATGGTAGAAAAACATGCTTAACAAGTGGGCCAATAAGACATACAACCAAGAAGCAAAGAGGGGAGGCCATCCCCTCTTACCTTGGACCTCAAAACATGGTTTCTACCACTGAAATTTCTATGAGTTTCAGTGGTATAAAGGCCAAACAAAGGGTGCTTCAAAAGCCTTAAGAGATGGCATAAGGCTTAAGAAAATAAGGCACACAAAGGGATGAAACACCCCTAACTCCCACAGGGCTTCAAACCACCATTTTAAACACTTAAAAATAGAGGTTTTTGTAGTTGACAAGTAGGCCTAAGACAATATGCAAAGATGGCCAAGATTGTGTACAAGAATAAGCTTAAAAGAGGGAGATGCTCACCCTTGAAGAACAACAGCAAGACAGCAGCAACTCTGAGCCAAAACAAAGTCTACGACCTCAAAACAAGCTTCAATGGACCTCAGCTCCAAAGTGAAGGTGTTTGACTAGGTGTCTTAGTGCAAAAATGTGAAGAAAACACACTTTCAAGCTCAATATAGGGAGATAGGGAGAATTCAAGAGAGAGAGAGGGAAATTTTTGCTTTGAAATTTTTGTGAACCCCTAACAAGGGGGAAGGACCTCCCCTTATATAAGCAAATCAAGGAGAAGCTTGCTTGACAAGCTTAGAGCTTGTTCCAATCCCTCCATACACATGTATGGAGGACAGCCACAATGCTCAACAGTTGGCTCAAAATATCTGGAAATATCTAAGGAAAGAGAAAATTGGCCGTTGGCCAGTTAAGGTGGCTGGCTGGCCACCTCCCCTAACCGGTCGACCACTCCAAGTGGCCTACAAGGGAGAAAAGTGGCCGGCAAGTGCCACAAGTGGGCGACAGCCCTTCCCCTCCCTCAGGCAAGAGGAAACAAGGTTTGGCTCAAAAACCAAGGCCAAAACACAAAATGTTAAGAAGCTCAAAGACAAGGCACTCAGACGAGAACTTCGGGCGCTCGAAACAAGCGCAAACATGCGTAATCATCGAGTGCACAACCGATGACGTCAAAGTCTTGAGGTCGGTCAAAAATGGGGTGTCTACACCAACCAAAGGAACATGAGGAAACTTAAATCAGCATAGCAGTCCAACAAAACAGAACATCCACCTTTAGCCAGCATATCAGTTTATCCACCTTTCCCTTTTATCAACCACCAAGACTTGTAACCAGTTGTTTTCCATACAACAGAGTATAACAAGGAAAACAGTAACAGAACATAACAAGGAAACCAACAACCGAGCATTCTCAGATCAGCCTCAGTAGGTAAAAACCAACATTGTAGATTTGACATTGAAATCCACCACAACAATAAGGCGTACCCTCAGTTCAGCCACTGTAAACAAGAAATAGCACAGTAGACTGACATTGAAAACCAACACAACACATCTACAACCTACTAGCTCAGCCACCATTCCTTAGGCAGAACTGCACTTGTTATAGATTTGACACAATATCATTCACAGAAAGCACCACTGGAGTTGGAGAAGACTTGATCCATATTGCAACTCTCACCTTAACCAGATCACACAACTCTTCCAAATTTGGTTGAATAGCCTTGAACAAACACTCATTTCTATGCTTCCACGTGGACCACAGAACAGCAGAGGGCAGAGCCATTCAAATCTTCTTTTCCAACTTCCTCAATTTACATCCAGACTACCATTGCAGCAGCCCATTAACAAAATCAAGTAATGCCCACTGAAAGCCCCACCATCTTACAATATTTGACCAAAGCTTCCACACAAAAGGGCAAGATATAAGAACATGAGCCACTGTTTCAACCTCATTTTGACAAAAAAACACAGGTGAGATTAGCATTCCCTCCTAAGATCCCTATCCTATGAAGGAAAGTAGTAGTTTTAACCTTACCATATCAGGCCAACCACCCAAAAAATTGTGCTTTGGGAGGGGCACAATTATTCCAAATTACACAAGCCATGTCCAAAGTAGGCCCAAGACTAGATTCCCACCAATTTTAAGCTGAAGACACACTGAAAATTCTTAATGGATCTGCAACCCATAACAGCTCATCTGATTTATTGCAACATAATGCAGGTGCAGAACATAGAAGAGTATAGAGTCTATTCATTTCCCCCTCCCAAGCCAACATTGTTCTTCTGATGCCTAAATTCCATCCTTCAACTGCACTTCTTCTCTGATAATACACACTAACCACACCCATCTTGTCATTAGATAAGGAAAAGAGCCTGGGGAATTCCTCCTTAAAACAAACATTACCAGCCCACTTATCTAACCAGAAATGAGCTCTCTTACCATCCCCCAATGCAATCAATGTGTTGTTAAGATAAAAATTGTGCAAATCTGGATTGGATGAGGATAGATCAAACGAAATCAAACCAAATCCCAGAGCCTCTGCCATCCAAGCTTGGGAACCATCTACCACCCCCAATATCATACTTCCGCAAATCACTTCTTTCCACAAAGAATGATTCTTAAACCCAAACCTCCACCACCATTTTAGAAGAAGACACTCATTTATAATTCTAATCCTTCTCACTCCCAAACAACCAAACTTCTTATTTTTAGTAACTAGATCCCTCTTGGCCTAATGTACTTTCCTTTTAAGGTCTGATCCACCCCAAAGGAAAGCTGATTGCATTTTCTCAATCTCTTTAGCCACTCCAACAGGAATTTTGAATAATGATAGGTAGTAAATAGGCAGACTAGACATAACATATTTGATTAAAGTCAATCTTCTAGCAAAAGAGAGCAGCCTCCTCTTCCAAGAAGCCAGTTTTTGCATACACTTGTCCAGTATTGGTTTCCAAGTGCTTTTCCTACCTGGATTGGCCCCCAAACGCATCCCCAAATATTTTAAGGGTAACTTCTGGTGTAGACAATTAAGTCTATTAGCAAACTCATGCAGCAACCCATCATCCACCCCAATCCCACAAATTACACTCTTATGATAATTGATTTTCAAGCCTGATAAAATCTCAAAACATCCTAAAATTCGCTTGATATTCACCACTTCCACCCACTCGGCTTCACAAAACAAAATGGTGTCATTCGCAAATTGTAAATGGGAAACTTTTAATCCATTTGAACCCACCACAACCCCTTAAATTAGGCCCAACTCCTTGGCTCTACTTAGCAGGATATTTAAGCCCTCTGCTACAATATTAAATAGAAATGGTGATAAAGGGTCTTCCTGACATAGACCTCTTTGTGGGCTAAATTTAGATGTTGGTGACCCATTGACCAAGACAAAAATCTTTGCAGAAGACACACAAGCTCTTATCCATCTCACCCAATTATCTCCAAAGCCAAAATTTAAAAGCATGGAAAATAAGAACTCCCAATTAATTGAATCATACGCCTTTTCAAAACCCAATTTAAGAACTAAGCCTTTACTATTAGATTTTCTCCACCCATTTACTATTTCATTTGGTATCAAAACCCCATCAAGAATATTCCTTCCTCCCAAAAAAGATGACTGAACCTCACCAATGATCTTGGGCATTATCAATTTTAGTTTATCTAATAACACCTTTGCAAGTAGCTTATACATAGAGCCAATCAAGCTAATTGGCCTATAATCATTTAGACAAGATGGGCTATTAGATTTTAGGATAAGAGCTATGAAGGAGCTATTTATCCCACCAACAAAACTAGCATTTTGGTGGAAATCCATCATGAACTGTAACACATCAGATTTCACAATTCCCCAACATTTCTTAAAAAATGCCATGTTGAACCCATCAGGCCTAGGGGCCTTATTGCCCTCACACCTCTTGATAACATTTCTAATTTCCTCTTCTATAAACTTTGCCTCTAATTGTTCCACCACCTGAGCACTACCAATGTTTTTAAAAGGGCTAGATAATTTAGGTCTAACATTCCAAAATTCAGAAAATTACCTCATGAAATGAGCTTTAACTTTAGCCCTAATTTCCATAGGTTCCTCAATTATCGACCCATTCACTAGGATTGAACTTAAGTAATTTCTACTGTTTCTGTTGCAGGCCATAATGTTGAAATATCTTGTGTTTCTATCACCTTTAGATGCCTAAATAGTTTGAGATTTCTGTCGCCAAATCCATTTAAATATTTTACTCAATCTCCTTCTAAACATTTCAGAACCAAGAAGAGATCTCTCCTCAGCTAACAGATCAAGAGCATGAGCCTCATCTTCAACATTTTTAAGTCTAGTTTCAACCTTTCCAAACACCTCTCCATTCCATTGTTTTAGTGCCAGCTTCAGAGTTTTTAATTTCATAAGACATTTAAACCCAGCCCATCCTTCCACCCTACACTTTGACCAGCTCTGCTGCACAAATGACATAAACTTGGGACATAACAACCAGGCATTTAGAAACCTAGACGGTCTAGGGCCGTAGTCCCTATCATCCTCCATTAGAATAATTGGAAAATGATTTGACAATAACCTAGGAAGGCCCTAAAGCTTGAAGTTAAAGTTTTGTACCCATTCATGATTAAGTAAGAATCTATCAATCCTACTCCATTTCTCCCTATCCTGAGAGTTACACTAAGTAAACTTCCTCCCAAGCATAGGCATATCCATCAAATCCAATTGTTCAATCATGTTATTAAAATCCCTCATCCTTAAATCCCTTCTGGAGCACCCAATTCTTTATGAAATGTTCCTAATTTCATTAAAGTCACCCCCCATACACAAAGGCCTTGGAAAATTGAATTTTAATCTCACTAAGCCCTCCCAAACCTCTTTTATTTTTGCTTCCTCATTTGGACCATAGACATTAAAAACAACACATTCAAAACTGAATTTTTTTTTACCTGCTAGCAGCAAGAAGTTGTGATTGCAGCAGCAAGCCTTCAATTGAAATACCTCTGGATTCCAAATGCACAGCAAGCCTCTAGCTCTACCTTTTGCATCAATAGACATGAATTCGAAACAGTCACTAGGCCACATAGACCTAACAAGGTTAGTGATAACTACTACTTTCTTTGTTTCTTGAATTAGAACAATGTCCACTTTCTTGTTAGCAAGATTTTTCTTAATCTTCCTCATTTTCTTTGGTCTACCAATCCCCCTTGCATTACATGATTGTATCTTCATTAAGACAATATAGAACACTCATACTCCCTGGTTTCGCTGAATTAATTAGCATCCCCATCCATTTGCCTTACTCTTTCCAAGTCTTTCCCATTTCAAGTATTGCTTTTGCCTTTGACATCACTATCTTACCTCTGCTGGACTCACTCGCCATTGAGAGTGAAATGGCAGCCACAATCGATCTAAAAATTGCTCATTTCCTTTACTTTAAAGATGGCTCTCCTAATTTTGTAACTCCCATCTGTTTCCCTTTCTTCTGCCATTTCTTTCTTCTCGTTGCTTTGCCATTCTCTTTCACAGGAATCCTTCTGTTTGGAGCTGGGCTTACTGGTATCCTCACCCTGTTTTCCTCAGGAGTACTCTGACCCACCTCTTCTTGATTATGGGCTATAGACACAGTAGGATTTTGTCGGTTATAGTTAACCTTAGGGCCCAGCCCCACACTAGCTTGAATTGATTCATCAGGTCCATCAAGCAATTGGGCCTTCATCAAGTCCACTTCTAATTGAATCCCAAGCCTTAAAATTTCAGCTTCATTGAGACTTCTAATACACCCAGGAGTGAAAATGTCACCATTAACCCTTCGTACTTCTTGGAACTCACCATCTCTCCTCTTGGAACTTGGTACCATTCCTACAGAGTCACCCTTGTATGCGTCGCCTTCCTCTGACATGCCATTAATCATGTCTGTTTCAGCCACCACAGAGACATCCCTAAGCCTATCATCACCGTCCATATCAGTATCATTGACATGTGAAACCCCTATTCATGCTTCTTCCACATCATACCTTTTGTCCAGCTCATTGTCGACATCGACCTCCACGTCACCATTTCCCTCCTCGAGCCTACTCCCTTTGTCTATACTCTGATCTTCATCATTCTCAAGATTGTAGTTCTCATCATACTTATCTATGTGATTTGCAGAAACATTGGAACTTCACTCCTTTGGATACAATAATTTGTTCTTCATAGACCCTAACTGGATACATTTTGCCTCTACATTCCAAATTAATGATTTGATTAATGGACTCCATACATCTAGTTGTAATCTTCACTTTTCGATAGTGGAAGGAGTTTAGATTTCAAGTGTCATCATCCAAGCCAATCACTTCACCCCACACCTTTCCAATTTTAAGAAATGTGTTACAATTCCACAGATTCAAGGGAGCACCATAACAGCTGAGCCATACATACCTTTATTGGTCAATGACCATCCCTTGTTTCTATTCTAGGACTAACTCACATCATTCCTTAAGCCACACCTTCATTCTCATGAGTCTTTCCCCCATGACCTCCTTTGATTGGAACAACATAACCATATCTCTTCCACCTTCCATTCTTACTCTGACATCCTCAAAGCCCCTTCTTACTAGTTCCTCCTTAAACTTATCCACTGAAGAAGATGTTTTTAAGTCTTATTACTGCACTTTCATACAACTAACCATTGCCTTTCTCATATGCTTTAATGGTTTTAATTGTATTTGTTGTCACACCCCTACCTCCCACCACCTCTGCATATGTCATCTTCCTTTGAAATCTAACTTCAATAATTTGAATATCCTCCATAGTCTTCCTATTCTGTGTTAGTTTTGTAGACGTATTCTTTGTGATGTATTCCTTCCCAAAATTTGCCATTTTGACTTTTAAGGCTCTATCATCACACCAAAGCCCATTTGCTTTTTATACTGCCATGTCCGCCGCTACAGAGTAATTGTATCTTACAAACCTAAATCGAGATCGTGCCATTTTCCTCCTCTTATTTGGAATAAAAACATCCATGATTACACCATAGTTTACAAAGATTGAATACAGCCTTTTTGCCCCCATAGCTTCTGGTTTATTGTCCACAAAAACAGAATGGATATCTGTTATCTCCTTTCTATTCCACACTCGTTTTCCTCCATACCTCCGTACCACTGGCTGCCATCCACCGTTGCCATGGTGTTTGTTTGCTCTCCATGACTAGAAAAATAAAAAATGGTAATTAATTAATAAAAAGGGCTTACAAGAGCTTTATTGATCTTGCTAGAATTTTGCCACCTGTAGACGCGCCCGCGGGGGGGACCTCGCTACTACAGTTCGGACTCTCGATTTGTGTCACGGTTCTTAATCTGAACCAAAGAGTCCAAATCTGGCAAATCGTTTTGAGAAACAGATTTTTGAAAAAGTAGTGCCAAACATGGACTGCTTTGCCAGATACAGAGTCGCCACCTAAATATTTTAAAATGGGGGAATTTAGGAAACCCTGACTCAGTGCCGAAGGCCACATGTCCGTCATCACCGAAGTTGTCTCGGCTCGGGAGCTAGGGTACGATCGGGGAAGGTCAGCTATGAGCACCCCCTTCAACTTGAACAAGTAATCATATTCATCTTCAGCTCTATACCCTGCCATCTCTCTCTCTCTCTCTCTCTCTCTCTCTCTCTCTTGCTATGGTTTAAGGGCTGTTTGGTTTGATTTTGGGCCTTGCTTGCTGGGGCTTGCCTCCAGTCGTGGACTGGAGGGTCCAGTCTGGCCCATTGGGTCCACTTTTGGGCTCATTTTTAATAATCTGAACAATTCATATTTTAGAATTTGTTGAATACATTATCTCTGTAAAAAATCACATAATTGAATAATGAATATTATGTATTCAGATCATTTTTTTACGAATCGTTAATTTTCTGACCGTTCATTTTTTTTCAGAAAAAAGTGATCGAATATAGTATCTGTTATCCGATCGACATGATTTTTTACAGAAATAATATACTAAACAAATTCTTAAATATTAATAGTTCGAATTATCAAAAAAAAGAGTACAAAAGTATATTTAATGAGCCAAATTGGATCAAATTGTTTCAAATCTTAACCGGAGACGATCCGGATCCTTTTCTGATTTTTTTTTTTTGTCTTTTATTTGATGATTTGATTTTGACTTCAATCTACAACGTCTACATCATCGCCCTCTCCATTTATTTCCTCCGACTACCACTCCTTCGCTGGCCAAACAAAACCAAAACACCAACCAGTGAGAAAATTGCCATAAATTTTAAATAGATTATTAAATTTTTTATGAAATCTCTCCTATAAATATAAAATTTATACAAATTATCATATAAAAAAATTAATAATAACTTTAATAATTTATTCAGCTCCCTAAGGCTCACCAAGTAAACACCATGTCAATCTCTATCTCTCTCTACTTCCAAGTACTTTTCTTCTTTCTATTCTCGCCTTCAAAAACACTTCAAATTTTGGGGAAAATCACTCAACGCCACCAAAATCAATAAATACCAGAATTGTCTCCATTTTTCTAGAGAGAGAGAGTATTTTTTTAGAGAGAGAGAGAGAGGGGAGAGAGAGAGAGGGAGATGGCGTCGTCGGCGTTGACATTGAAGAAGACTGGGAGCGAAGGAGGGTCATCGGAGAGCGGAGCTGGGACGGAAGAGAGAGGGAGGTTCGAGTTCTTCGGCTGGGTCTACCATTTTCGCGTCAATTCCATCGGCCACGAGTACTATCATCTCCGCTTTCTCTTCATTCGCGGCAAGTATGTCGAGATGTACAAGCGCGACCCTCGCGAATACCCCGACATTGTAACGCATCTCTCTCTCTCTCTCTCTCTCACACACACACACACACACACACACACACACTCTATAAATATAAATAGGGACTGGATTGTCTCCAGTTGGGCAGAACAACTGGACCCAAGTAAATGGCTAAACAACCTTTCCTAC